CTGTTCTGTGTTTGTTTTTCTCTCTCTCTCTCTCTCTCTTCTCAGGTGGACCCAAACCCTCAGCCCTTCGCCATGCGTCCTCGCTGCATGACCTGTTGAACTCTCTGCCAGCTGAGCATCACCTGATGTTTGAAACAAAAGCTGAGATTTAATTCTCCTGGACGCCTCTCTGAGACTGAGATTGGCACTTGATCCTCGTTCGAGCCGTTCGCATCTGTGCTTCCCGCAGCGAGGCAGAGAGAGGAGGAGATGTCTGGACTAGGCGAGGATGAGCGCTTTCATCAAACAAAGAGGACATTCAGTACCAGGGCGAACAAAGGTTCTGCCCACGTTTGTGTCCCAAAGAGCGATCAGACTCTGGTCTGTGCCTCGAACGATTGTACGTAGAATCAGGGAAATATGGGCATGATCACTAGAGAATTATGGGTGAGAAGCCATTCAGAGATGCTACCCATAGTGCCTTATTTTGCTGTGAATGAGGGCCGAGTCCCTCTTAACCAGCTGCAGTCTGCCACCTTAGATGTTAGCAGATGTGATGTCGTCCTCTCCCGAGGCGGGGCATAGAGAAGAAACAATAATGTACAGTATGTGGAAAATAATGTGTTTTTTTAACCTTAAACCGCATAAACACATTTCATTACACCAAATACACAAAATAATCCCTTTAAATATTGATAGATTGTGAAGACATTTGGAATAGCATGTAGGCTACAAATTAATCCTACACAATAGGCAACTGCAGTGCACGGCCTTTCTCACAGAACGCGAATTCAGTTTTTGACAAGCTGTTTTAAAGATCGAACGTCTGAAAATGTTTACTTTCATGCGATCGATGCTAAAAAAACAGTGAATAACGGTCGAATACAGTGTGTAGGGCTACGTCTAACGCATGTTTAAAAACTGTTACAAGCATCGAAGCGGAGCAAACCGCGTTCTTTAGGAACTGTAAGTAAATAGCTTTTTTAAGTTGACTGTATCTGTTAAGCTGAAGTGCAGTCTTGGGGAGTAGCTAGTTACATGTAACGGCGATACGTAATTTAATTACAAAATAAATGTAACTGTAATCATTAAAAATGTGTAATTCAGTTACAGTTACTTATGAAATCCAGTGTGACTAGATTACATAGTAATTCGATAAAAGAGATCTACAGAAAAAAAACTAATCGAGATCGGAGACTCAGATTAGAGGTTTAGAAGTTAAACAAGTTTTAAGCAAAAAGAGTAGGCCAATCTCCTGAAACAGATCTGAAAACCATATGTTTGGAATAAAAGTACAATACAGTTTAACAGGTGTAGGCTAACGACACTCAATTACTCTAGGAATGGCAAGATTTCTGCCTGAAAGCTGCCTGAAAGATAAAACGTTAGGGAAATCAGTAACTAGTATATTTGATATATTGAATTATGTCTTTTTTTGGCAAATGAGTTTTGCAAGTGAATTATCTCCTAAATGGCAAATATGTCTATAGAGAGCAAAAGAAAACATTGAAAATGAAAAAGGAGTCACTACATTACATTGCACAAACAAAGCAGCAGTGATATTTGCGTCTATCTGTCCTTAGAGAGGCTTCCTTACATGGAGACATGACGTTCAAGGGTTTGCATCTGGGTGTGAGAGCTTTGTTGACTTCACACGGACAGATCAGTTTGCAATGAAGCCTGGGGACTTCATGGAAACCAAGGAAACTTTAGCGGCAGATCAAGAAGCTACTCTTACAGCCCAGGAATCTCCAAAAATATCCCATCATTCACATAGATGAAAAACAACACATTCTTGACCTTGTTTATGCCTGTGTATGACTTAAAATGCGCTTGGTTTGCACTTTATTTCGAACACATTTGGAGGTTGGGAGCATCTGAAGGCTGTTGTTATTGCATTTCCAGCTGCCTGTTTGCTTTGTTCTCGTTGGACAGCACTGAGCTTTGTCCGTTTCCCGAAAATTATGCTGAATCAAAGCATTAACTCATTGCCAAACAGATTAAGTCAGATTTTTCCCACTGATGTGGTACTAGGAGGCAATTAGTCGTGAGCCAAAACATTTGTGTTATCATTATCAATGCAAATTCGCTGTTCATAAGGGATAAAAACAATGTTAAATGCACTATTTGCATGCAACCTTCTGCACTTGGATTTTGGCACAAACATGAATCAAGAAAAGGGGCAAAGGTCAGGAATTTAGAAAAGTGTTTTTGATATATTCCTGCATGCACATGACATAAATGTTAAATGCGTCAAAAGCGCATACATGTTACTTCCCCCATGAGGCTGTGCTGCACGTGGCGACATGTTCCGCCCAGTGTTACCAACTTAGCAATTTTGTTGCTAGATTTAGCAACTTTTCATACTACCCTAGCAACTTATTCTTCCAAAAGCACCTAGCAACAAATTTAGCTATTTTTTAAATTTATTTGGCAACTTTTAGCAACTTTTGATAAGTGACTTAAACAATAAAAGGGACACATTTTGGGTGTATTCCAGAAAGCACGGTTAACTTACCGTCAGCTAAACCCTGAACTTTCGGTTGATTAACCCAAAACCTTGCTTACTTGGGGTATGTGGTTCCAAAAACGTGTCCAGGAGTAAGTTTACTCAACTCAGAGTATATTCCTGGTTAAGACTCAAGACATTCTCAACAGAGCGACGAATCGATGAGAATAGCGCGCCATGCTGTTTCTTTCTTCTTCTTTTGTTCAATGGTCATTTACATGCTTAGTGCATATCGCCACCTAATTGATGGTTGTGCAATCATTTTTATTTTTTTTCCCCGTTTAATCTCCAATCCTTGAGAATAAGAATTATATCGTTTGTTTGATGCTAATTATATATTGTCATATCAGATATGTATTTTTATTATAGAAATACATTATAGAAAATGCCGATCCATGTGTGAGATGATAATATAAAATGTAATAAATATATATAATATAATAAATTAAACATTACCTTGTCGTAATAGTGTTTTTATAATTTATACAGATAACTGCTATATAGGTTATGCCAATAAAATAAATATAACAATATCATATTAGAATAATATTACCTTATTTATTACTTATATTAACGCTTTATAATTAACATATAATTCAACTATATATATATATATATAGTAGGCTATATTACATAACTTCATTGTAATAATATATAATGATAGTGCTGAAGTGAACTAACCCTGAAACATAACCTGCTCCGGAGCAGGTTATCTTCACAGAGCAAGTTGCTATGACATGCCCTGAAATTTAGGCCTACCTCCGATTTTGGAACCGAAAGCTGAGGTTATCCTCTCGCTTATCCTCAAACATACCCGGGTATGTCACATAACCTGCTTTCTGGAATGCCCCCCAGGTCTCAGACAGAGCTGTGAAACTATGGTAAATATTGTGAGGAATGTATGGAGGGGCTGAGAAGGAATGTATTTACCTTGGGTGAAAAGAAAGTTTCGTACATATCTTTCTCTGGTGAATTGAGAGAGCATAAACAAAATATGTGTTTGCCGTTTTTGCAGTGCAATTGCACAATTGCCCTACTAGAAGAACAGAACGTTCTCCAAGATTGATTCTCCCTCTCTTTTGCTCCCAAAAGTCACGGTCAAACTTCAGCAAAACCACAGTCGTCTAAGAAACAACCACTGTTTCCCTTCAGTAAATCATTATAGACAGTATTCCAGCGTACTCGAAGTTTGGTTCACATGTGGTTCGAAACTACTATGAACGTGAGCGGACCCTTTTAACAGATTGTGATGGTGCATTTCCGCAGTTTTTAATCGTTATGTGAAAAATAATGCGTTTTTCAAACCACCAAGCATGAGAGCATATTTTAGTACACCCCCAAAACAAAATCAAGACTTTGTAAAAGAGCATAATAGGACCCCTTTAAAATATATAAACTTAAAGATTCATGACATATACATATATTCTTTTTTATTTGTGACCCTGGACCACAAAACCAGTCGTAAGGGTCTTTTATTTTAATTGAGACTTAAATTTTTTAAAACTTTTATTTAATTGAATAAATAAGCTTTCCATTGATGTATGGTTTGTTAGGATAGGACAATATTTGGCCGAGATACAACTTTTTGAAAATATGGAATCTGAGGGTGCAAAAAAATCTAAATATTGAGAAAATCGCCTTTAAAGTTGTCCAAATGAAGTTCTTAGCAATGCATATTACTAATGAAAAATTAAGTTTTTATATATTTACGGCAGGAAATTTACAAAATATCTTCATGGAACATGATCTTTACTCAATATCCTAATAATTTTTGCCATAAAAGAAAAATTTATAATTTTGACCCATAGAATGTATTTTTGGCTATTGCTACAAATATACCCGTGCTACTTATGACTGCTTTTGTGGTCCAGGGTCACATTTAATGTACATTTATACACTTTTTTTTTTTAACCTTGGTATAAAAAAAAAAAAAAAGTGAACACTGCTGTTCATGAGTTTTTAATACTGCAAATTGACATCTTTCTCTCTTTTGACCAACATAATCTCTCAGTAGTTTTTGACTTCCTTTGGACAGTCATAGAAAAACTATCATGGATGTTTCTATTGGAGTAAATGGGAACCATGGAAATGTGTAAATGATCACAGAACTACTGTATGAAATATTCGTTTAAACATCTGTCAGAGATGTTTGCACTGCCCCTTGGCTCTCATGCTTTAGAAAAGTGTCTTCAGGGTGTAACTGTGACCAATTACACTCTATAATACATATCCTTAAATGGATAGTTCACTCAAAAATGCTAATTCTGTCATTTACTGACCCTCAAGTTGCTTTGGACCCTATTGACTTTTACTGTAAGGACAAAAACTGTTATTTAAAAAACTTTTACGTTCCACAGAAAAAGGTCATACGAACGACATGTAGGTGAAGTGTTTGGGTAAACTATCCCTTTAAGAGCACAAGTTGGATGCTATAAGGATATGCTGTTCCACCTTTGGCCATTAGGAGGAGTTGCCATTTCCACACATTGTAATCCTGAAAGGGTGTTGAGGACAACGCACAGTGAACACCTTCGGTTAAAAACAGGAGCTTCTTCTGAGCTTTCACGTGGTCATTTTGTTTCCAAAATGCTGAACTGTGAAGTATTGAATGAGTCATGTGCATACTGACATCAGTAAGACTTGTTTCTGGTCAGCGCTTCCCTATTTAAACTTTCCAAACAGTCATCATAATCCGCAAAGCCCCACTCAAAACAATGACACTGTGAGAAAAGAGAACAATTTGGGTCATAATTGGTAGGATGTGATGCACACTCCCACTCGGCAGGAGCACGATAAGAGCACCGCTGGATAAACAGGGAGGTTTGGGAATAATGTATTTTCATAGTTCTCTCAGGAGACCAGCAGAGCTCCCTGCCTTACTGACCTCACACTTTATGTACAAGTAAACAACCAGTACCGAGGGGAACAACTAGACGTAAACACTCATGTGGTGACTGTCAATAAGAGTTAAAGTGTTGCCAAGACTGCAGATTTGATAAGGAAGAAAGGAAGGAAGACAGAGAAACTGGAAGAAAAAGATGTTTGTGACCAGCTCTGAA